TTTCTAATTTTTTATGGTGGTTACAAGATCGGTCAAATCTACCAAACCTGTATAGAGATTAATTACTGAAAATAACAGATAAGATATAAAGTTTTTTCTTAATCAGTGTTTGATAACTATCTGGACATGAATTATAAAGATTTTGCATGTGAAATTTCAAAATGCATAAAAGTATTTTTAATCTTAAAGTGAAAATAACTTTGCATGATGTGAAAAAAAAAGGCATGAAAGAAACATTGCTTTACAAACCTTAAGACTTAATAAAAAAATGAGATATTTGAGTACGAAAGCATTGTAATGCTTACTGATAATCTGCCAAATTTTGTTACCTAATTTAAAAGTTGTAGCATAAAAACTGTAACAAGCACAAATGGTTACTAGGTCAGTCCTAGGGACCGAGTCCGGGCTGAAAGAGTTAACCTTTTTGCTACAGGTGGGTGTAACTGTGCATGTCAGTCTTTTTATAAGGTAATATTTAAAAAATCCTGAATTTACCCTAGTGTCACACATGTGACACATTTTCTCTAGGTATATTATCTTCTCTATTTTATCCACCACCCCTTTAAAAAGTAAGAAATTAAATGTAAATTACTTCCTATAAAATTGTCATTGCTCAGACAAACCATAATTTTTATAGCCTTCAATTTTGTTTGGTTACAGAGCCATCAAACAGAAAATGAGGCCTCTCTTGTTACATCCACCTGTCACATCCTCTCTTTCAGGATTTGTTAATAGTTCTGATGTCAAAAGCACACCACTCCTCTCTGAATCTTTTCTCTAATCCATCTAGTGTAAGAGAAATAATAGTTTTATAGCACCCTTTTCAACACTGGTTGCACAGAAGATGTAGGCACAACATTTGGCAACCTCACTAGTATGTATTTGTAAGGATTAGCTTGAATACCCATTTCATTCTCTAGCTGCTCAGTTGAATCAAGGTATAACTGGGAGCTTTATCTTGATGAACCCATACCCAATTGGCCTTGATTATGTACAAAGCTGGTATTTTTGTGTGGTATAAAGGGTCCAAAACAGTGGTCTGATAGTAAGTATCCACCCTCCTCATCATTAACTTGGCCATTGTGCAACTTATAGCAATGATTATGAATCACTTCAAAAAAGTTTGAGAATAGGCCATGTACTACTTAACTTTTTTTCTCCCACTGATTAAAATCAAATGTCATGAAATTTGTCACAGTTATCAAGGTGCATACATACCTTGTCAAGTGCCATCATGTATTGCCATTTTTCTCCAGCTAGATTCCATTCAAACAGTTTTCTACAGTTGGTCTTCCATTTCTGGATATGTCATAGAAGCAGCTTATGTACATGTGACTTGTTTTGCTTTTGCAGAAAGAGATTCTTCTTAATTATGTTGCGTATTGTTGTATGGGTCATGTGAGCAGCTTTTACCAATGACATTTCTGTTCGTAGTTTCTCACCTGTTACAAGACTCATCACTTTGCTTACCATGGCTGTGGTACAATTTGTTGCAGGTCTCTTTTGGTATAGTCCTGGTGCCCCAAGTTGCTCCATATTCTTCTGTTTTTCAATGCCATTAAGTACAAGGATATATCCATATTGGAAATTCTAAGTTCACAAACTGACCATATGTTTATGATTTGAGTGTATGAATATATTGTCAGAAAGGGCTGTTATATACCTTTCCCAAAAGTAACTAGTTATTAGTGGCATCGCATTATCCATGAAGTGCCAAACAATATCAAAATATAGTTCTGATACATTCCTTTCTATTGCAGCTTTATGTTGGTTGAGGTTGTCTTGTGACTGGCTTATTTGTATATTTAATATTGTTTTAACATAACGAACCCTCTGTATTTGTGTGATTTATTAAATTCCTTATAGTCAGTTTTCAAGAAATATGATGCAAGTTTCATCAAGGTAACACTAAGGTAGACACAAGGTCACACTAACGTTTTTAATACTAACTTATTCTCATTAAGGCGACTTTATGGTATTCACATCAGTCACATTGAATGACTTGGTAACATTAATTTATTCTCACCAAGGTGACTTTATAGTAGCCACATCAGTCACACTGACTGACTTGGTAATGTTAACTAATTCTTACCAAAGTGACTTTAAGAAGGGTAGGTCAGTCATGTTGTGATAATCTGAGATACCAACCATTCCTATTTTGGTAGAATTGTTTTGATTTTTAACCCTAGATTATGTCACAACAATCATATTTTTTTAAATTCTTACTTTTTTTTTTCTACATTATGTAGGTTGCTTTAAACAAGACCTGTAAATGTGTTATGGGGATGAAATGAAACAATACCACCTTTGATATCATAGTTATTTAAGCTTTTGTACTTCTGCAGCTTACCAAACAAGATTTGGATAATTTTGTAACATTGAATAAAATATTAGCCAATCAGAAATTATATTGAAAATTAGCCCTTTCAGAAGTGGAACAGCCACATTAGTTTCATAATTAACAAAAGTTATCTAGTGAAGAATGGTTAATCAAAAAAAGTAAGGGGAGAGAGTTATATATTAGGATGTCACCTCACAACAAAATAATTAAAAAGAAATAAATTAAAAAAAATAAGTTTGCTACTTGAAATATATCCATAAAATAAAGGTGAAAGCAAAAAAAAAAA